CATATAACATACTCAAGCAACACAAAATTGATATGAGGCACAGTTTAGTGTAAATAAAAATCTCCCTTCAACAACGTACAACAAATCCTGGCCCCCCAGAGTCGAATCTCTCGTCATGTCCTCCTTGCCAGGCACAGAGGTCAAATCAGGCGCACGTCAAAATAATGAGATTGAAGTAAACAGCTTTCCTCCCACAGTTCGGCCATTTCTATCGAAGTTTTGTTTTTTCAGCTGAAAACTTTTCATATTTTGTCCTTTTACAAACATATCTCTGTGTAGTCTTTCCTGAAAAACCTTTAAAGGCACACAAAAAGTACATTTTCAGTTTCCAAGGATCTCGATTTCAAGCCAAGATAGAGGGGTATCGTTTTCATCGAAAGCATAAAAAATGAAAAAGCTTTAAGACGATATCGGTAACTCGATATGCCCCCCAAAATTGACGAATGCCTGATTCCACCACATCAACATTTTGTTTCTAGACAAGTTTCAAAGCCTTCCATCAAGATGTTGCTTTCCTCTGAGCAGTTGACCCCGACAGACAGAGTCGCGCCCGCCTCCTAAATGACCAAACTTGTGTCACTGATCACATCCAACACCGACACCGACACCGACACCGACACCGACACCGACACCGACACTGACACCGACACCGACACTCACTGTACCAAAGACTCGTCGAGTCAAGACATCCCATGTGCAGCCCTTGTTGACAACGCTGAAGCTATGACACATGTACAGCCCTTGTTGACAACGCTGAAGCTATGACACATGTACAGCCCTTGTTGACAACGCTGAAGCTATGACACAGCCCTTGTTGACAACGCTGAAGCTATGACACATGTACAGCCCTTGTTGACAACGCTGAAGCTATGACACATGTACAGCCCTTGTTGACAACGCTGAAGCTATGACACATGTACAGCCCTTGTTGACAACGCTGAAGCTATGACACATGTACAGCCCTTGTTGACAACGCTGAAGCTATGACACAGCCCTTGTTGACAACGCTGAAGCTATGACACAGCCCTTGTTGACAACACTGAAGCTATGACACAGCCCTTGTTGACAACGCTGAAGCTATGACACAGCCCTTGTTGACAACGCTGAAGCTATGACACAAGTACAGTCCTTGTTGACAACGCTGAAGCTATGACACATGTACAGCCCTTGTTGACAACGCTGAAGCTATGACACAGCCCTTGTTGACAACGCTGAAGCTATGACACAGCCCTTGTTGACAACGCTGAAGCTATGACACAGCCCTTGTTGACAACGCTGAAGCTATGACACAAGTACAGTCCTTGTTGACAACGCTGAAGCTATGACACATGTACAGCCCTTGTTGACAACGCTGAAGCTATGACACAGCCCTTGTTGACAACGCTGAAGCTATGACACAGCCCTTGTTGACCACGCTGAAGCTATGACACAGCCCTTGTTGACAACGCTGAAGCTATGACACAGTCCTTGTTGACAACGCTGAAGCTATAACACAGCCCTTGTTGACAACGCTGAAGCTATGACAGAACTTTTGGTTAAAACCTTCACAGCCCAAGAAACACACTTCAAAACTTCCCAGCGGTTCATTACCCGCCCAGCTGTCATATGGCGTGACTTGCTTAAGTATTTACTTCAGTGCCCTGCGTCCGTTTATTGTTTCAATGTTTCGTGTGCCTGGTCAAGTCGACGGCTCAAGTTGCCAGCGGTACTGAGCGTATACTCCGGCCACATGACGTGTGCCTGGTCAAGTGGATGGCTCAAGTTGCCAGCGGTACTGAGCGTCTACTCCGGCCACATGACGTGTGCCTGGTCAAGTGGACGGCTCAAGTTGCCAGCGGTACTGAGCGTCTACTCCGGCCACATGACGTGTGCCTGGTCAAGTGGACGGCTCAAGTTGCCAGCGGTACTGAGCGTCTACTCCGACCAGACGACAAAAGTCATCGACGGGACCAAAAGTGTTCAAAAGGAACTCAACAATAGAAATGTGGGGACACGGCTTGAGTAAGGATTGAACCCCAACCCCAACAGTTCCATCTATTCCTCTCAGACAACAAGAACAGATAAGTCATGGCGTAAAATGAAGAATAAAAAACAAGAATGCCCCTCATAAACAGTCGAGGACAAACCTTGGAAGTTTGTGCACTAGAACGACTTGAGCAGTCAGTTAACAACAAAAGCCAAAAGTTCAAGGACAAACCAAGTTTTGTCCACACAAATTCAAACAAAGAAAAAGAAAAGCCTTTGTTCCAGGGGAATTGACCAAAAAAAGTCCAAAAGTATTTTCCAGCTGTTTTCGAAAGTCGTCAATTGAGCCGATTCTCTCCACTCAGCTGCTAGGCAGCACTGAGGGCAGCACGTTTGTTTCTTTGCTGTAAGTTCTAGTTTTATACTTGCCGGACAAAGATTTCCTACTCTTTGCTGTAAGTTCTAGTTTTATACTTGCCGGACACAGATTTCCTACTTTCGGATTTTCCTTCGTAATAGAGAGCTAATTCCCTTTGGAATTTTAAGGTGGTTCGGAAGACTTGCAGTGAGTTTTGAGTGAGAAAAAAGTCAAAAGTTTGAGATTCGCACCATTCTTCTTGTTTTGTTTTTAGTTATATATGTCGTGTCGTGAAAAAACCTCACAACTGAACAACTATTGGATCTATAGCCTCCAAACTTCTCCTTTGGGTTGCCTGTACAGAAGGAGCTGCAACAACATGACACAAATCCTAGAAGTGGAGAACAATGCGTCACAAGTCAAAAGTTTTCTATGCAAACACGTTCGTCTTTGATTGCCTGCTTCTTTCCACTGCCTTATCACACTGATTTGTTTCCCTTGTCCGATCAGGACGAAAGCTCAATTTTATTTCTGTTCAAGTCGCACAAGATATACGTTCTATCTCAGCGGAACACAAACAATTGAAAATGCTAACCCACCCCAAGGGAAAAAGTCGGCCGCTACTTTAATTTTCAAAATGGCGGAGAGAATCAGTCAATTGTTGACAAAAGAGAAATAAAAAGTGAGAGTCGGCTCCCCTCCAGGGGTCGAGAGATTGATGTGGTCGGCGCAGACGCTCCCCTCTCACCTCTGACCCTGATCAATGTTTGCATTTCAGCCTTTGTAGAAAGCTACGTTTTAACACGAATAGAGAGAACAAGATGGCCGACATACAGAGACAGAACAAGATGGCCCCCATAACAAGATGGCCCCCATAACAAGATGGCCGACATACAGAGACAGAACAATATGGCCACCATAACAAGATGGCCACCATAACAAGATGGCCCCCATAACAAGATGGCCGACATACAACCACCATAACAAGATGGCCGACATACAGAGACAGAACAAGATGGCCACCATAACAAGATGGTTGACATCCACAGAAAAAATAAGATGACCACCATACCAAATGGCTGACATAACAAGATGGCCGCCATCAACAATGGAGGCAGCAGAAGCTATAATATGTTCTCATCAAAGCCTGGATATTTTCCTTGTGAAAAGCAGAAACAGCGATATTTTTCTGAACTTCTCGGCCAAGATGAGAACAGATGAGAAAACCCCACAATGTATATTATTATTTCACCAAACAGAAATCAAGAACAGTATCATTTTGTGGTCAAGAAAACATCTTCAATCTATTGTGGTAAATAAAATATTTCAACCAATCGTGGTAAATAAAATATTTCAACCAATCGTGGTAAATAAAACATTTCAACCAATCGTGGTCAATAAAAATGTCCAGACGAGATTTACATGAGATTGCCAAATAGGCCACAACCCTGAACCAGGGCAGAAAAATCTGCATAAACTTTTGCATCACATTTGAGCAAAATAAAGAAGCGCAGGAGAAGAGCCAAAATGGTGGCACGGAGACATGCCAGTTGGCTTTGATGGCCAAGATCTTTTCCTCAATATTGGAAATTATGCACAAAGTAAACAAGAGACAGCTTGAGCCTTGAGAAGGTCATGGCATTGCATAAATCGGGAGTCGGGGAAGCCTTAGGACATGTTCAACATGAAAACACAATTTAGTTCTGCTCATGTTATATTTATAAAGTAAGCATCTTTTGCCAGCCCTCTCCTTGCCCCCAGTTTTCTCCCCTTGAGCTGACCTCTTTTCTCCCCCCCCCCCCCCCAGCGCGCACAACGCACGACTACACGACCTTTGTCCCCCACAGACGACCTTTGTCCCCACAGACGACCTTTGTCCCCCACAGACGACCTTTGTCCCCACAGACGACCTTTGTCCCCCACAGACGACCTTTGTCCCCCACAGACGACCTTTGTCCCCACCGACGATAACACAGACGGGCTACATCAGCCCAACGCATGCATCTCGACAAAATACCCCAATTATTATAAAATGTTCAGCACATTGAGAAAATTGAACGTGATGATCGCAAATTCATCACACAGAGAAGTAGAATCAGAAGAGAAAACGTTAGATCTGGCACATTCTTCACCTCAAGTCTCATCCTGAAGTCGTGTCAGGCAGCACTCATGCCAGCTCTACTTAACGCGGGAAAATAATTACTCCAGTCGTTGTAAACAAACTGATTTTGGCCCTCAAAGGCCGCACAAACAATTCAGAAAGGAAAGTATCAGTTCACCAGGTGTGTATGTTTAAAAGATTATTCCGAAATGTTTTTGTTGCTATATATATATATCACACCGTCGCCAATCGGCGTCCTGTGGGGGCCAATCGTTAACCGTCAGACCTCAAAGAGCCACCCCTGTCATCGACAAAAGATGAGACGTCAGTGATAAATCTACCCTGGTAATATCCCTCCGTTCCTATTTCAGGATACAAAACAAACCCTTCTCTTATCCAGAAACTTTCTGGCTCAGAACTAACAATAACATTTCATGATAGGAAAAAGAAAGAAAAAGCTTGGAAACGTTTTCATATAAACAACATTTGTGAATAATCACACCAACCTGTCTCTGGCATCTTTGTTCTGCGACTTAACTACTACATGCAGCGACTTAATCACCGCGAGCAGCGACTTAACTACTACATGCAGCGACTTAACCACCGCGAGCAGCGACTTAACTACTACATGCAGCCACTTAACTACTACATGCAGCGACTTAACCACCGCGAGCAGCGACTTAACTACTACATGCAGCCACTTAACTACTACATGCAGCGACTTAACCACCGCGAGCAGCGACTTAATCACCGCGAGCAGCGACTTAACTACTACATGCAGCGACTACCGCGTGTAAGGGCTGTCCAAAAAGTAAGATGAAAAGATCAACAGAACAATTCTGTGTGGATGGAAAAAAACGCGGAACATTCCAGCGTACCATCATTCAACAGTTTCTCAACATTGGCACCAGGAAGATCAGACTCTTCAGAAAAAATATTCACTCTTTAAAAACAATCGGGTGAAAAAAAAATGGTCACCAATCTAGCTCACATGTCCAGGTTTCTTTAGGTTCGTTGCTCTAAGACCCACTGGAGTCGGTTTACCAGCCATCATTTAAGCTGACACTTTACAAAGATTCTATAGGACCCATCATTTAAGCTGTCACTTTACAAAGATGTTATAGGACCCATCATTTAAGCTGTCACTTTACAAATATGTCATAGGACCCATCGTTTAAGCTGTCACTTTACAAAGATTCTATAGGACCCATCATTTAAGCTGTCACTTTACAAAGATGTTATAGGACCCATCATTTAAGCTGTCACTTTACAAATATGTCATAGGACCCATCGTTTAAGCTGTCACTTTACAAAGATTCTATAGGACCCATCATTTAAGCTGTCACTTTACAAAGATGTTATAGGACCCATCATTTAAGCTGTCACTTTGGCCTACAAAGCACCATGCACTCATCCATAGACAATTTCATAACAGAAGAATTTCCGACGGTCTAAAAGATAGCAATCTCCCAAACCTTGTGCCTCCTATCTTCCCAAAGATTGTCACTCCCTCAATGTAGCCTCCTATCTTCCCAAAGATTGTCACTCCCTCAATGTAGCCTCCTATCTTCACAAACAATGTCACTCCCTGAATGTAGCCTCCTATCTTCCCAAAGAATGTCACTCCCTGAATGTAGCCTCCTATCTTCACAAACAATGTCACTCCCTGAATGTAGCCTTCTGTCTGCCACACTGGAGGCTACTGTGCAAGAGTCTCGTCTTCCAGATCTGTCCATTCAGATTTACAGAAACTACCGAGGACAACGCTACATCTAGTATGATCTACTTCTCCTTCCTACAGAGCATAACAAGCAGATCCCTGTCAACTTTTAGGACTGCGTATTTGACATGAGAGAACCGTACAACTCCACACATCCCTACCTTCGACTTTTCCTCTATGTGGGTCGACACATTTGATCGTACTTTCCGCAGCGTTTCTGACCTTTGGTAAGAAACGTGTACAGTGCAATGCCTTTTGCATCCTCTTTATAGATTGTAAACAAATACGTTTTACATTTTTGGTCATGAAAATTTTCACCATACTTTTTGGACAGCCCGTGTTTTATCATCACAGACGAGAGTTGAGAGACTCGAGATGAGAAAGACATCAAAGACTGATGAGAGGAAGAAAGAAGAGGGAGCAAAATTCCAAACAAAACTTTGGTGTCGAGACAAACGGCGTCGATCATGATCCCACCGGGGCTATCTTCATCAGCTTCTGGAGCCATTTCGTCACGGTCACTGAAATATGGAGGGCAGGAAGAAATAGCTTTGTCAGGAATTATAATAATCCTAATAATAATAATAACACATTAATATAATCTATAATCTAAAACCAGAAAT